TATTGGAAGATTTCAAATTGGTACGATTGATAAAAAAAGCAGTTGCCATCGAAAAAAGAAAGCGAGACCGTGAAATTAATCAGCAGATAAGATCTGCTAACTCACTTGTTCCAGAAATTCAATGTGATCATTATATGGATTGTGATTTAGATAATAAAAATGACTCAGAAACAGATCCAGTATAACAGTAATGGAGATCCAGTTGTTGTTGCTGCAATCAAAGAAGAATACCATCTAACATTTACATCAGAGAGTGGACCCACATCACAAAGTTATTTGACTCATGTAGTTATACCTAATGGAATTGGTGCAACCATGGCAAATGCTACTGCTAATGTTTTGTTGGAATTTAACAGTGTTCAGAGTTTAATTGCGGTTATTTTAGATAATACAAGTTCAAATACAGGTTGCGATAGTGGTTTGGTTGTTAAATTTGAAAAAATTATAAACAAAAATTTACACCTTTTAGGATGTTTGCTGCATCAGAATGAACTTCCACTGCGACATATCATATCAGAATTAGATGGAAAGACAGTTAGTGCTAATTCTTTCAAAGGGCCAATCAGGGAGGCTGCATCTAACCTAATACTTCATGAACAGCCATTGTTTCAATTTGTACCCATAAAGTCAGAGGTAGAGTTATTTGTTAACAAAGAGGTTATAAGTGATCTTAGTACAGACCAGCGCAAACTCTATGAGTATTGCGCTGGTATTTCAAAAGGTTTTCTGAAATTTTTGAAAGGTTTGTTTCAAAAAAAGCAGGACCAGTTTTCCATGCCAGATGGCTAACTTTAGCACTCAGAATTATGATGTTACATGTTAGGACTAAGGAGCCATCTCTTGAGCTATTAGCAGTAACTAAGTATATTGTGCAAGTGTACTGTGTAATGTGGTTTGCTATCAAGCACTCTAGACAATACAAAGATGCTTGTCTACTGTATAAAAATATTCCGTTGGTCAAGCTTCAAGAATGCAGGATTCAAAGTATCGATTTTACCAATCTCCAGGGAAATTCATACTGTTGTTTGCAGGAAAATTTTCTTTACTGCATGCTGCAGGATGAAAATATACATATAAGAAATCAAGCTCTTAACCAAATTCTTAAAATAAGAAAATTAAAAGAAGACATAACTTTCAAAACTCAGCTTAAACCAAAATCGGTAATGAAAATAAATTTTGATGCTGGTTCTTGGGACTTTCTTGTTTCAGTTGATGAGATTCAAATTGAGCCACCAGCAACACTTAGCGTTACTTCAGAAAAAATTAGAGAGGCATTTGAATCTGGACAAAAACTTTGCCTAATTGATTTTTCAAACAATTCGCAATCAGTTGAAAGAGCAGTAAAACTAACCTCTGAAGCTGCTAAGCAGGTTTATGGTCTAGAAAAAAGACACAAATTTATTTTGGCAAAGAACCAAAGTCGAAAAGAGAATAAGAGAAATGTAAAAAAATGTGATTATTTTATAAAATGAATATCTAATTTTGCAATTTTCTGTGCGATTTAATTGAAACAGCTTGCTATGACAAATGCTATAAAATTGCACAAATGCAATTTTATAGCATTTGTCATAGCAAGCTGTTTCAATTAAATCGCACAGAAAATTGCACAAATGCAATTTTCTGTGCGATTTAATTGAAACAGCTTGCTATGACAAATGCTATAAAAAACATTCTGACTAAGTTGTTTAGTGTTGATAAATTAATATTCCTTGAAAATAACAAAGCTACGAAAGATATAAATCGACTGTAAAAAACGTAATAAATGGCTAAAAATTAAATCAGGGCCATATTAAGGTGGGGGCGGATGGGTCTGCAGCCCCTGGCCCTTACAAAAAATTCCCCAAAGCCCTTCGGAGGCGTTGTGAATAAATAAATAAATAGAGATTCAGTAATCTATTTAAGGTGGACCTATACAAAAAGATCTTAATAAAAGTTTTACCCCCCCCCCCCTAATAAATTTAAGACCCCTTACTTGGGGGGCTTGCCCCACAAACCCCACTGGAAGGAATTTTCTGGCCCCTAGATCCCCAGTTATAGCCTTGTTAACGCTGGGCATTTTTACCTCATCGCCACATTAGGCCCTCTTATAATAACAGCCCCAGGCCTAAGAATGCCTTAATCCAGCCCTCAATTCAATTAAGATATATATTTGAACCAATTTCCCTAAGTGAATATAAATTAAACAAAGTTAAATTTATATTTTTCTTGTTACTTATATTGCAATGAACAAATTCCAGGGTGACTCTTTTCAGTTTTCAAAAAAAACACTTTCTAGGCAGTGGCTTAATACATAAATATTAATATTTATGCGAATTAAGTTTTGATATATTTAAAACATTCATGTATTTCATTACAGGGGAAGGGTTTTCCAATCTCTTTAAATAGTTAACTGCTTTACATGCGTGGTTTTGTAGGCTTTGTAATCTTAATAACTTGTTTTTGCGTGTGTTAGCGCAAACAATATTAGCGTAGGAGTGATGATAATGAACAAGACTGAAGTAAAGCATTTTGCGTGATTTATAATCAAGAAAGGCCCTAGATTTATATAATACACTTATAGCTAGGGGTTGCAATCCCGGGCATGAATTACGATCCCGGGATTTCGGGATTGAAGTAAATAAAATCCCGGGATCCCGGTATCCCGGGATTTTATATAATGTGAGTTATTTGCTAAAAAACAGAACTTAATACTGCATATATGAATATACTTTTTGATGTTATCAATTCTTTATTTAATTTCATTATGTTTTAATGACTTACATTAATTTTCTACGGCGCCTTAAATTGTTTTAATTGTGTAACAGGCAGCAGGTGTATATAAAGATCTTAAAATAATGCAGAATTATATATACGGTACCTTCCATATTATGTTTTAAGATTACAGACTTTACAGAATAACCTTCATCAAATAATTGGATATGTAAATAACATTTGAACATTTAAAGTGTGTTTGACTAAGGTAACTAAACAATCAAAGTTTCAAAATAAATTTTAAACATAAATTTTCTTAAATTTGGGTACCGATGTAGCTGCTGTAGCAACAAGCTACTTTGTAAAAAATAACATAATAAGTTGTTTGTTAATATTGAGAGACTAAAGCTGTCATTCGAGCCAGTGTTTTGTCTAAGGGTTTTTTTTTTTCTGATGCAAAGTAACTCATTATTCTTCGTTTCGTAGGAGGCTTCTCGTCGGTTCTAGCATCATTCAACTGTTGACTCGAACTAGGTAAATTTTTGTCGGCTGAAGTTACTTTCAAATTATGCTTAGTTGATAAGTGCGTATGAAGGCCTTTTGTAGAACCACCCAATGTTTTCAAAATTACACCACATTTCTTACATTTTGCTGCCAAATTATCCGCAGACTTCAAATAATGTGACCACACTGAAGTTGGGTCTTTATCTTTTTTGTATAGAAAAAATGATGTTCCCTTTTCACTGTTTTCATTCAGGTTTAGAAGGATATTTTTTTAAGGTGCATTAGTAAACAACATATTATTGCGGTAAACAATAAAAGCATTAAAAAGGTTATCAGTTCAAAACGTTCAAAACGATTCATTCCACAGTCAAATTTTGTATGTATTCACACTAGAATTCCTTCAAGCGGAATTAATTGTCAAGGGCATTATAATGTTGCAATAACTAATAATTGTACAAATATAATTATGCAAATCGCTAGAAATATCCCAAAGGGAATTGTTATGTAGTAATCATTAAATTTTTTTAGATATAATTTTTTTTTTATTACTTGTTCATTTTTATTTTGTGTTTAGAATCCCGGGATTTTCGGGACCCAAAAACGTCCGGGATCTCGGGATCCGCATACATAATTGACGATATTTATGAGAAGCTTTATTCATATCATTGATATATTTAATATATATCATTGATATATATTAAAAATAATAAATGTCCTAAAATTGATCCCGTGGGACTCCGCAAACAATATCAAGAGCTCCTGACTCCTCCAGGACAACAAACTGTTTTCTATTAAAAAGATAACTCTTAACACACTTATATGTTAAACCTTTAATGCCGTAATGCTTGACCTTTGAAAGCAAAATTCCGTGATCAACAGTATCGAATGTCTTAGATAGATCGATAAATAGCCTCTTGTGCATAACAATATAATAACTGTCTTGAAAATATATCAGTGTATCTATTTAAGATATAAACAAAGTTCATATCAGTGTATTTATTTAAATTGGACAAAGCACTCTCCCTATTACATTTAATGTTTTTATTTTTGTTATACTACTGTCTTATTGTAGTACTTTATGTCTAATATATTAAATTATTTTGTTATATCGTGTTAATTTGTTTATCACATTATGATTACCAAAACGATGGCAGTTATTAATTAATGTTTTGGTTTTTGTAAAATTCATTTGTGTAATTTATCATATGAATTTTTATAGTTTTAATTGGATGTTTCCTATTTTTCGTCTGAGGCTGACGTGTTCCTATTGCATGGGGGTACACAGAATTATTCTGTTTATCGCTATTTATAAAGTAAATGTAAAATGAATATTTACACTAAAATTAAATTTACACTAAAATTATTTTAGCCGTATTTGGTTAAATATAATCTTTTGTAACAAAATGAATTTTAGTAGTATTTGGTTAAATATAATCTTTTGTAACGAAAAAATATTTTGCTTATATTACGATGTGAAAAAAATTGTAACTATTATGTAGTTGTGAAAATGTAAATAAATAAAAAAGTTAAGGTTATGAGCGCTGTATAAAATATAAAGAACTATAGGGTTCTTCAAAAGTATAACTATTTTTACTCTTTTGTACACATGTTGGCTCTATTGTAGTACTCTTAGCCTCCGCCGTTTTTTAAATTGGGTTCATTTTGATCAAAGACGTCCATCATTACCTTGCCTTGAGATTTTTTACCCTGAGAAAACGGAAAAACTTCTTCAAAGTGTAAATAAAAGCTTTTGTTGTTTTTTTCTACCTTTAGAGCCGAAATATCTTTTTCTTGAAACTCGATATTTTTTGTTTTGTACGTAGTCAAGAAAGTATGACAAGTCAATAATTTTTTAATACTCTATTATAAAAAAAGAGCTCAACATACACACAAGCACAAAATCATTAATGTCTTATCAATCTATTCTAATAAAGTAAAAACAAAACTTCGGCTATTGTGCGCTCCATCTAATTCTGCGCTCGTGTACAAAGTACCCAGTGACTGGGTACTTTGTATCAGGCACCCAGTGATTGGGTACTTTGTACCAGTCGCGCAGGAAAAAATCCCGGGGGGATTTTTTCCTGCTACCGTTAAGTAGTTACCGTTATGTACAGTTATAAATTATAACTGTAAACATTAACTGTACATAAATTAGGTTTAAAACGGTAAAAAGTTTGAGTTAGATGTGAACTAGATAATAAAGGAATAACCCCGCTTTAACGGAATAAATTGTGGTTAGATATAAACTTAGTATAAAACGATATTTCCAGATTAAGGGTATATAATATAAAAAACATATAAACTATGTAAAAAACAAGTTATTCCACTGCTAAAGAATACATTTTTAAATACCAACCACTCCATACTGCGGTGTTAATATATAATTAAATATTACTTAGTATAAAACGAATATTTGCAGTCAAAGAGCATTACTTAAAATAATTAAACATTAACTAAGTATAAAACGAACATTTCCTCAATTATAATCAAATATAAACAAACTTTATATTGTTTAGCGATAAAAGAAAAAAGTATTAAACAAATAATTTCAATTAAAGGGTATAGACTATAATTAAACATAAACTAAAGTATAAAACGAAAAGTTCTGCTATAACAATTTACATTTTTAGAAAACAAACAACTTCACTTAAACGGCATAGATTATAATCATTTGTTAATTAAGTATAAAACGAATAGCTCCATTTATAGAGTGTAAATTATAATTAAATATAGATTAAATAAAAACAAATACTTCCCCTAAAGGGTATACATTATGATTAAATATAAACTAAGATAGCTTAATGACCATAATATAAGCAAAATTAATATAAACTAATTTTAATTAAACAAAAGCAGAATAACAAATGTTATTTATAAACTGAATATCTTCGCCAACATGGAAGAATAAGGTAAACAGTAATAAACATTAATAAATATACCACAGTATTTAAGTAATGAAATAGTAAAAGTCATAGTCTTAGATATATATAAAAATTCAAACCTTTTTTTGGTATTGTGGTTAATCCTCCTCCGGCTAATTGCCATATAGAGGCCTATTCAAACCTTTTTTTAATCGTATTGAAGTTTATTCTCCTCGGGCGTTTGCCCTGCAGAGTTATTAATAATGTTACAGCAGTTAAATAAATACAAGGTGGTCTACTGCTCCACTACTAAAATACATATAAACAGACTCCCAGGGGGCTCACGTTTAAATAATAAAAAAACCCACTATCTAAAATATTGAAAACGAAAACGAAAAAACGAAAATTTAAAAAATATCAAAAGAATTTAAAAAACGAA